AGCCAGTGAGCGGGAACCGGTCCGTATGTGGGATCCGAACCCTCGGCGGGAGCGCAACCGCCCTTCCCAAGCAGCGCACTAGCGCAGTGCGCCACCAGGCCGGCCCTCTGGGTTTTAAACGTGAGAATTTAGCTGCTGGCTTCCCCTGGTCCAGTCAGCTCTTCTCATTTGTAAAATGGGCTAGTAATAGTACCTGTATTTTCAGGTGATTATAAGAATTAATTGAGTTAATGCCTGAAGGTGCTTGAAGTAGTGTCTGGTACAGAGTTAATACTCATTCAATATTTTCTCTCATTAGTATTGCTATCTTGAATGCTCCTGTTGTTTTTCTGACAGTGACTCATCCTTCCCCTCTAGGGAGTGGGGAATCACGTGGTTCATGACACGCCAGAACCTCACTTTTGGCAGGATGCTGCTCAGGCACAGGTTTGCTGGGGCCCTGATGGTTCTGCTGTCCCCTCAAATGCAGAAGGATCCCCTGCCCCTCCTGTACTTAATACCCTGCCCTGCCCCTGTGGCCCCACCTCACCTTCCCTGCAGAGAGCACCGAGAGTCCCTGGGGCTGGAGGACGATCAGATCGGGCCCCGTGAAGGTGTGCGGCAGCTGAGCCCGGTAGCGCTGCAGAAGTGTGTTCAGGACGCTGGATTCATTGACACTGACGAGAGAGGCCAGGTCCTCGGCATGGTCCAGCTCGGGAGGGTTGGCCTGCGAGCAATCACACAGAGTGTCGTCTAGCCTATGTGGCCCTGACCACACCACCACCACCACCCCCTTTCCCCCCAACACACGTGCACGCACGCACAGTGATCCCGTCACTTGAGAGCCATAGTGAAAGACCCAGAAAAACACAAGGACTCTGAAGGAGAATTATGAAATTACGAGTAAAATAGGGCCATTCCTTCTCCTTGGCCTCTGTGCAACCCAAGAGCTACCACCTCTCCACTCTGGCCCTTCTTTCTGCACTCACTGCACTGTGAGGGGACATGCTCCCAAGACAGACTTGGCAAACTCAGAGCACCTTCTGTCTCAAACACCGTGAAGACAGGTGATGTTGCAGAGTGTGTGAGTGCCCACTGCTGTTTCCTCCTTTTCTGGTGGCATTGGGGAGCTCTAGATATGTTCTATGACCCCAGAGATGGAGGCCAAGGTCTAACCACCTCATATATCTGATGGCTAATCGTGCATTGATCCCTTCGAAATATGCCCAAACTCTTTTAGAAGCAAGGGATTTTTGCAGTCGTTCCTTGAGGCATCCGTTATAAGAGGCTCCCCAGCATTCTTTCCAGCCTCAGGGAGTTTTCTGGGCCTAATGCTGTGGAGTTTGAGTCAAGCTTGAACTCTCTTATGGGTCAGCATTTTGTCTAAGGGCACCGGACCTCTGCAAACTTCCAACACCAGTGGGAGAGAAGGGCCTAAGGTGGACAGAGGAGGAGCAGAGAGGAATGCAGATGAGCAAGGAAGGAAATTCCTTCTTGATTAATAAGCTGCGAGGGGTGGAAAAAGGGCAGGACAGAACCTTTTCTTTTTCTCTATCATTGTAGTCTGACTTGACATCAAATGGATTTATGGTGCACTGCAAAAATGTATGCAAAACAACTGAAAAAGCAAAACTCAAATAAAAGTTAATGCCCAAAATGTAGGCCACTGGAACCTATACTATGGTTAGTGGCAAGCTGCAAATTTGGCTCTGAGTTACCTGGCAGCCAGAGTGAAAAAGGAAACATGCTCTGTAGCATGATTTGAAATGTTCATAAAATAAAAAGCAATCACTTTCTTAGGTCAATCAGAAGAACTCCCAATGTCAAGATTGACAAACATGTCTCTTGATGTGTCCTCATAAAAGGAGCACCACAGGACAGAGTGAATGACCCCCTAACAATATCCCTCCAGCAAAGCAATGAGTTCAGTGGGGGTGTTTCCTATAACTCCCTTCAGGGCATCCAGTTGAAGTAGTATCTGCAGTCATGCACAAGGAAAGGTCTTGCAGGGGCGGGGAAGGAGGGTATAGAGCAGGTAGGGAGGGGGACAGGGGACTCACCCGGTGAACATTTTCCTCATCCACCTCGGTGATAGTTTTGTCAGCATCAATGCAAAGTCGCACCCTTCCTGCCGGGAGGTCGGCTGTTCCCTCATCTGGCTTTAGCACCGTAGCTGGTTGGACAGCCCAGAGAGAGAAGGAGGGGAGGGGAGGGCAGAGGAGGAGAGGAGAGCAGAGAGGCTCTGAGGCAGGCCAGGGAGCGGAGAGGGGGCTCTAGATAGATCAGAAAAGGGCTACATTTTCTCCCCGTGGGAACTATTCACAGGGAGGGTTCTGATTTGTGACCACCAATCCTTTAAGGACAGAGGCTGAGTCTGACCCATTTGGGGCATGGAGTAGGCACCCAGATGGTCAGGTGCACTCACCCATCTCATACCTCAGCCAGAGATGGTAGATAAGGGCATACAGGCTCCTGTTTTCCCTTACAGTGCCCATGACAGACATCACTAATCAACCACTCTGTCCAGCCACGTTCTGACCGGGACTCAGAATCACTTTTCAGTAGAGTGCAGCCATCAGCCACAACTAATCAACAAAATAGGCACATGAGATGCAGTCTGTTTGCCCACTTGCACTTGACTCTGAGTTCCTTAAGGAACTTTGTAAAAACCAAGCAATGCTAGTAGCATTAATGAATTAGTTAATTAATTAATAACAGAAGCTCAAACGCCTTTGAAAACGGTACCCAGTCGACCAGCTGCCAAGGGTAAAATGACCAGCAGCTATCTTCATCCCCCAAAAGTCACATATCCCCAGCTTGGTCTCAGCAGCTCCTAACTCCCCGCCTTTCCCCCAAAGTGTAATCAGGACCAGACAATATGGCTAACAGTAGTAAGGGGTGCAAGGGGAGAAGATGTAGACCCCCAGATGGTGCTGACAACCCTAATTACCAAGAGTAAATCCATCCTTCTGAACCAGCCAGACTTTCTCTGCCTCATACCATCTGTCCTCAGGAGCCTGAGAGCAAAAATCACATAAATTAAACCAGCAAAGTAACACTACTCCCTGCCCCCACCCCCACCCTGTGTAGGAGGCAAACCCCTTACTTGGGAGATTCTCAGTGTGGTCTGGGACCACCTAAATCAGAATCTCCTGGGAGGCTGGGGGCAGGGAGGGTCTTATTTAAATGCAGATTCCTGTCCCCAACCCCCAGCCTTTTGAATGGGAACCTCCAAAGTGGTGCCTGGGAAGCTGCATTTTTAGCAATCTGCTCTTCAAGCCACCCCAAGTTTGAGAGCTCTCGTGCGACACAGTAAATAAACTCAGCCGCATCAGCCACGAGGGGACGCTTCACATTTGAGGGACCTTTTCTCACTCTGTGGAGAGTCCCACCCCAGGACAGGTGCAGTGGGAGAGCTCCAAGAGGCCATCAAGGAAAGGGTACCCACCCCTCCCCTAGGTGCCTCCTGACTCTCATCACCCCTCTCTGAATTCTCTGTCTAACCCCCATCCACCCCTTGCCCATACCCAGGGGCAGGTTATTTCCATCCCTTCATCTCTGGAGGGTCCCCACTCCCAGGGCTGCAGCCCCCTCACCTGGTCTGAGTCTCTGCTCTGGCCTCCTTTGCCCCCATTTGAGGGACCTTTTCTCACTCTGTGGAGAGTCCCACCCCAGGACAGGTGCAGTGGGAGAGCTCCAAGAGCCCATCAAGGAAAGGGTACCCACCCCTCCCCTAGGTGCCTCCTGACTCTCGTCACCCCTCTCTGAATTCTCTGTCTAACCCCCATCCGCCCCTTGCCCATACCCAGGGGCGGGTTATTTCCATCCCTTCATCTCTGGAGGGTCCCCACTCCCAGAGATGGGTCCCCACCTGGTCTGAGTCTCTGCTCTGGCCTCCTTTGCCCACCTCCTGTGGAACTGGCCCCTGCTGGTTCTCCTTCTGGATCTGAAGCTTTTCTGCATCGTTCTCCAGATCAGGCTGCCTGGGTCCTCCCAGCTCCGCTCCTGCACAGGGCACCTCTGCTTTCTGTCCTCCGTTTTCCGGCTGGCCCCCCTTCCCAGCTGCTGCTGGTGACTCTGCCCTTGTAGCCACCTCCTTTGGGGATTTCCAGCCCTTCTCTGCCTGACCCTGAGCTTCCCCTGCCTCGCCAGTCCTACTCTGAGGGTGCCCCACCTTTTCTGTCTTATCCTGGAGGTCACCTGCCTTCCCAGTCACGCTCTGTGGCTTTCCTGCTTTCTCCATCTTTCTCAGAGCATCTCCCACCTTCCCCTGCATTTTGCCCACCTTCTCCGCCTTGGTCTGAGGCTCACCTGGCTTCCCTGCCTTGCTCATGAGCTCACCTTCTTTATCTTCCTTATTCTGGGAACCAGCCCATTTGCTCCTTCTTCCCAGGGAACCTCCCCAATTTCTCATCTGAATTTGAGACCCAAAATATTTTCCTTCACCCCCTGTATCCTTGGAGAGATTCCCCTTTTCCATCTTATTTGGGGAGTCCCCTCCCTCCTTCTCCTCTGTCCCCAGTCGTCCCCCCTCACCTGACCCTTGGGCTTGGGGCTTGGTCCCCTGCCCATCTTCGCCCTGAAGCTCTCCCCCTTTTGGACCTTTGCTCTGGGGGGCACTGCCCCCCTTCCTTTCTGTGCCTTGACCCTTCTCGCCTTTTCTTGGTAGCACAGATCCTTGGCCTGCATCCCCAAGACCCACAGTCTGGTTCTTCTCAGCCTTCAGGGCCAAATCCTCAGTGCTGACCTTGGACCTTTGCTCTGGGGGGCACTGCCCCCCTTCCTTTCTGTGCCTTGACCCTTCTCGCCTTTTGTTGGTAGCACAGATCCTTGGCCTGCATCCCCAAGACCCACAGTCTGGTTCTTCTCAGCCTTCAGGGCCAAATCCTCAGTGCTGACCTTGGGACCACAAGGAGACCCTGGGGTTCCCCCCTTCTTTTCCCCTCCAGGGTCTGTGGCTTGGGGTGAGGTCTTGCCAGCTGGGGAGTCATGGGGATGGGTCCTCTGCTCCGGCTTGGCTGAGTCCGGGTCCAGCTTAGCCACCATCAACAACACATCACCCCTCCTCACACCCCTCTTGAAGTGCGGGGTCTTTTTGGCTGTTGTCCCACTAGGGCCTGGCTCCTGCGGCTTCTCGCCATTGATGCTGGTCATCAGCACAGGGTCAGTGCCATCAGCCCCTTCGTGCTCCCTGCCCGGAATGTTTGAGCTCTGGGGAGAGCATGACTGGTTGTCCTGGGAAATCTGTGGGCTTCCAGATTTGGTGTCACTGTTGGACTTGCTGTTGGGCTGGCTGGTGGAAATTTCTGGGGTCTAGGAGAAAGACCACAACCAGACTTAGCTGCTTGCTGACCTAACAGCTTTATCATTCATGCATGCATTCATTCATTTTCTTAGGTGTTCTCCCATCCTTTCATCCATCCAAAGATCCTCAAGCACCTCCAGGATCTGAGGGGCATTGTGCCTGGCAGTGAGTCAAACCCCAACACCCTACACCTTGGCCCAGCACCTCAAGGCCAAGTGATGGAGTAGAAGAGTGAACTTTGGAGCCCAACAGAACAATGTTTAACTCCTGACTGCCACCCCTCGCTGTGTGGCCTTAGCTAAATTGCTTTCCCTCTCTGAGCCTGTTTCCCTATCAATAAAATGAGGATCATAAAGGCCTGCTTTGCAGGGTGGGTGTGAGGATCCATGATAATATGCAGAAACAGGGCCCAACACACAGCAAGTCTTCAGCAATAGCAGCTGCTGCTGCTGCGGTAATTGTTGCTGTTGTTTCTGACTTGGTTTTTCCTACTGGGCCCGGAAGGAATCAGGAAAGGACTCAGGGCTTTGGTTTTCCCTCGGTACAGGCAGATAGCACCTGACCATCCAGATTTTTCATAGGATGAGATGTAGAGAAGCACTTTGGAAATCACAGAGTATAGAACAAACTGAGCTGCCACTACTTCTGCTGCCCTGGTCCCATACCCCACTGCCCACACCAGCTGAGGGCCTTGGTTTCTGCCCCTGAGGTTTTCCACTCTTGCCTGACCTAGACATTTGCAGCTACATAACACCCAAGGGGGTTTCTACGGCCTGTTCCTCTCCCAGGCCCTTTTCCTGCCTATGGTTTCAGCCCTGCATAGCCCTCCCTCCTCAAACCAGCCTGGCTGTGGCCTGAAGAGCTCATGGGCTCAGCTTCACCTCTACCTCTGCAGAAAGAGGCCTTGTAGAGAGTTCTACTCTGATCCCCAGCTTCCCCTCCTGCCCCCATCTTGGCTTTTCCATCTTGGACAGTGCTAAGGTAGCTTTGCAGACACCCATGCCTGGAAATCTGGGACTCTCCCCCTCTTCTTACATTCAAACCATTCCCAGGATCATGCTGATTCCATCCTGCAAGGCTTCAAATCTGTGTCTCTTTCCCCAAACTCAAGTTCATCATCTCTTACCATTGCCACAGGATTTGAACTGGTATCTCTTAAATTTAATTTGTCAGTCAGTTTAAACCTGATCAAAAGATTTTGGTAGCTGCCCACAGCCAATGGGAAAATATTTCAACACCACCATCAAACATTTAGGATCCTCAGTGAAGAGCCCTCAGCCCCCATTCTGGTCTTATTGTCCCTACTTATCCCCAGGCTTTGGTTACACTGGGCATCGCCTACCACACCTGAGCCTTCCCTGCTTCCATATCTTTCTCGAGCTGAGCTTGCTGCCTGGTATGACCTTCCCCCTCTCCACTTACCCACAGTCCACTCATCTTTCTATACCCAGCTCAAATATCACCTCTCCACACATCTCCACCTGAAGACATCAATCAGAAATCATCTCACACCTCCATGAAGTCCCAGGGCACTATGCTCATATTCCCATCACAGCGAGGACCACATTCTGCCTTCCATTCTAGCTTTTCTTTGTGTCTCCCCCCCACACCTGTTTGATGGGGTTGATGCCACAAGAGTACAGTCTCTACGTCTTTGTAATAATGATGGTAATAATAATGAGAGCTATCATTTATAGATCCCTCACAGTGAGCCCTACAACACCATCATGCAGTATCCTATTTAACCCTAATAAGGACCCAGTGAGGTAGGTTCTGAACCACTCCCCATTCTACAAGAAAGGAAACAGACACAAGGATGTTAGGTGGTCCAAAAGATAAAGCTGAAGTGTCAAGCTAGGCTTCTCTGACTCTAAAGACAGTTCCCTCAACTGCTGCATATTACACAGCCTTGCTTGTCTCTCTAGGGCTCACTGGAATCTCCTGGGAAGCTTTGAAAAACAGTGATGCTTGCCCCACTCCCAAAGAGTCTGATGTTGCTTGTGAGGGCTGTGGCCTTCTGGGTGATTCTAATGTGCATTGCAACCAGAGCTGAGAACCGTGGCTCTGGTGCCCAGGGCCAAGTGGCTCAGTCTGAGCTTCTGGGTCAAGGCAGGATGTAGCCTTGGAAGTGGGATTGACCACACGTGGCAAATCTCATCACCATCTATGCCATTTTGAAAAGTGAGTCAGTGTCTTATTTTTAACTAACCACCATGGAGGAGACAGTAACACAGGGATGAGCCAAACAAGATAACCAACCCCAGGCTCCCCCACAACACACACACCCAGGAATTATCTTCCTTTGCATTTTTACAGTCATTAAAGCCCTCAGTCCCCTCTGTACCCTTCTCAACATATGGAGGAAACAGCACCCCTAAAATCACTGAGGCCAAGAGGAAACTCATAGCACATCCATTTTACAGATGAGTAAACTGAGGCCAAGAGAGGGAAAAGGATTTGGTCTGGACCACACAAAGTGGCAGGTCCAGAGCTAGAACCCAGGTCTCACTGACATTCAATATGGATTTCTTTCTACCCCAGTGTTATTCCAGCCTCTCCCTGCCCCTCACTGGCTGGGTGGCCTTAAGACATTTAGTCACCTCCCTGAGCCTTGTTTTCCATTCCTGCAAAACGGGCATGGATTCTAATGGCTCCTTGCAAGGATTATACGAGGACCAAATGCAACAGTTGTGCTGGGACAAGGAGAGAGAGTGTGGAGCTATTTACTGATCAGGACAAGAAAATTAAATTGGAGAGAACCAGACAGGACTTGCTGCCTTGCAGGAACACATCCTGAGGCTCCCCTGCTACAGCCCCAGGAACACGTTGGCCCATGGTCTGGCCACCTGTTGTGGTCTGAGGTCTGTCCATCCTGCATCTTGGTTCTGAGTATCTGTCCAGGCCCAGCATGACAATTTGTCCCCATCCTCTGCTCACCTCTGCTTCTTAACTTGTTCACAGTGGCACCAACAACAGCCTCCTGGAACCATTTCCTCCCCGGGCCTCTGAGGCCACACCATCCACCTTGCTCACCACACTGGCCCTTCCCCAGGCAGCTTGTAAGAGCAGAGAACACACAGGCTCTCACCCTAGTTCTGCCTCTATCTGGCCTCATGAGCTTGGGCAAGTCACATGACCTGTCCAGACCTCAATCTCCACCTCTGATAAATGGGTCTAATCCTATCTACCCCATTACTGCACAGGATATCAAATGAGCCCATGTATAACAATGTGAGCATTGTCTAGAGATAAACAGCACACTGTAACATTTCAACATGACTAACAACAGCCTCCTGGGGTCAACTTAGGCTCCTACTTACACCTTAGGTCTGGCAAGTGTGGGGACAGAGCCTGTCCTCCCTGTCAGCCTCCCCCAGAAACACTTGGCCAGGGTGTTTCAGCTGCTGCTGCTGCTGCTGTTTAGCTGCTGGAGGACTTCTCTGATGTAGCAACACTGTTGTAATTAGGCAGGTGCAGGCACGTGAGGTGGCCGCAAAAAACCAAAGCTGAAGGGATAGGAAAGGAGGAGCCAGAATGGACGCTGGGCTGAAGACAACCCCAGGCCCGAGGCCACCAGACCTCACAGAACAACTGTTGCAGCATTCAGCTTGCTCCAAGGGGCCACTGGAGAGACACAAGGAGGTGCCCTTTCTGCCTAACACAGTGATGCTTCCAAGGCAGGCTGCGCTCCAAGCCTGCCTCCCTGCTGTCCAGCCTCATCACCCTGCCCAGGTTCCCTGGCTAAGGAGGGAGATAGCATTGGCCACCACCAGGGACAAGTTTGAAAGTCCTTAAAGCACAGGGTCTGCACCGTGTTCAACTATTGTTTCAATCCTGCAGTGCTATTTAGTGCTATTTACTATTCAGAATAGAGGGTTTTAGTGGACACCAATCAATCAAAGGGATGCCAGCTAGAGCAGGGTACCAAGGTTCCCACCTGTGCCAAGCATTAACCCTTTAATTATTGGATTGTGATCATTCCAAGGGACTCAGAGGAGGGGCCTGGGTGAGCATAGCAGTTGGAGGGCACTTGGGGGCTTGGGACCATGGCTACTTATCACCTGGCATGGAAGGGTTTTTAACAGCCAGAACAGCTATACCAGTGACTACCAACTGAATATCTTTTCCACTTAGATTTAAATGAACTAACTATATATCTTAGCTAGTGTCTAGGTTTCCCTTTCTGCAAAAGTAGGGGTACAATGACCCCCACCAATCACATACCAACTGATATCATTCATTCATTCATTAAACAAACATCTGCTGAACACTCACTATGAGCCAAGCACTACGAGATTTGTTCAAGATACAGGGTTGAATGAGAGCTTGTTGTTGCTCTTAAGGGATCCCTAGTCAGATAAGTCATGCAATTAAATATTGAGTATGCCGACCACAATTAAGACAGGCATAGGGTGTAGTGGAAATCAGAAGGAGGTGGCCGCAAAAAACCAAAGCTGAAGGGATAGGAAAGGAGGAGCCAGAATGGACGCTGGGCTCAAGACAACCCCAGGCCCGAGGCCACCAGACCTCATAGAACAAGTGTTGCAGCATTCAGCTTGCTCCAAGGGGCCACTGGAGAGACACAAGGAGGTGCACTTTCTGCCTAACACAGTGATGCTTCCAAGGCAGGCTGCGCTCCAAGCCTGCCTCCCTGCTGTCCAGCCTCATCACCCTGCCCAGGTTCCCTGGCTAAGGAGGGAGATAGCATTGGCCACCACCAGGGACAAGTTTGAAAGTCCTTAAAGCACAGGGTCTACACCGTGTTCAACTATTGTTTCAATCCTGCAGTGCTATTTAGTGCTATTTACTATTCAGAGTAGTTAGAGGGTTTTAGCGGACACCAATCAATCAAAGGGATGCCAGCTAGAGCAGGGTACCAAGGTTCCCACCTGTGCCAAGCATTAACCCTTTAATTATTGGATTGTGATCATTCCAAGGGACTCAGAGGAGGGGCCTGGGTGAGCATAGCAGTTGGAGGGCACTTGGGGGCTTGGGACCATGGCTACTTATCACCTGGCATGGAAGGGTTTTTAACAGCCAGAACAGCTATACCAGTGAGTACCAACTGAATATCTTTTCCACTTAGATTTAAATGAACTAACTATACATCTTAGCTAGTGTCTAGGTTTCCCTTTCTGCAAAAGTAGGGGTACAATGACCCCCACCAATCACATACCAACTGATATCATTCATTCATTCATTAAACAAACATCTGTTGAACACTCACTATGAGCCAAGCACTACGAGATTTGTTCAAGATACAGGGTTGAACGAGAGATTGTTGTTGCTCTTAAGGGATCCCTAGTCAGATAAATCATGTGATTAAATATTGAGTATGCCGACCACAATTAAGACAGGCATAGGTGTAGTGGAAATCAGAAGAACAATCAGACAATGAGAGAACTTTCTGGAGATGTGCTATTTGAACTGGGTTTTAAAGGATGCATAGGAGTTCGATAGATCAGATTGAAGAAAGGACGTTTCTCAAAGCAGGGATGGCAAGAGTGAAGGAAGGGTGACAAGTGACTCAGAGAAGATTCAGGATGGTGGGTACAGAAATGCACCTGGTTCCCTTTCTGTGGGCCACTTACCTCTTGTTCTGGAGAGGCAAGCACTGCCTGTTTCCTCCGTCTCGCTTCCTTGGACTCTTTCTCAGTCTCCCGGACCAGTTGCCTAATGAAGCCCCCTGGGATGACAGAGAAAAGGGGAGGGGGCGAGGACGGTGGAGGGCTCTTGTCCTCTTCCCGAATCTGTTTTGCAGAAGCAAGAGAGAGCTCAGTGAGTGATCCGGCGGAGGTAAGTCACCCTTCAAAACGTTAGCGATGGAGCCTGGGAGAGGCCAAGGAGGACACACGTGACCAAGCCCACGTATGAGGCCACGGCAAAGCAGGGCAGTGGGACTCTGGGAGGCCCTGAGACAGTGTGTAAAAATGGAATGTATGAGCAGCAGAGGTTACACCAGTCAGTACAATTTCTGCCTGGATCGAGTCTCCTTCTGATATGAGTTTGGACGTCAAGGCCACTGGTTCCCTTCTTTGGCATGGGACAAACCCATCTCTAGATGTACCTGCTGTGAAAGGAGATTTTCCAGTTTCCAGAAGGGGATGGGTCACAGGGAATGTCCACACTCTCCTGCCCCATCTCAGCTTGTAGTTAATATAATAGATTAATCACTTCATTAGTCACAGTAATCAATTACTATGCACCAGGAACATGGCAAGGTAGGGAAGGGTTTGCAGCCATGATTTCTACGAAGATCCAAACCTGTGGCTCTAGCCCACTGACACAGTGTTGTGGCTTCTTGATGACCTTAAACCAGGACATGGGCAGCCAAGGGCTCCCTAGCACTGAGTCCCAAGTCAGGCAGGCTGGACACTAGCATTTTACCCAAGAAGTGTGGCCAGGCCAGAGCTGGCTGGACTTAGGTTGCAGCTGCTACCCCTTTGTTGGCCACAGTGACTTTGGACACTGAGGCATGGGACCAGCTGTGGCCAACTGAACTGTGTCTTTAACCTGCATCACTGTGAGATTACTCATGAGAGGGGGGGAAAAATCACCAGCACTTTATATGCAAGAGGCACGCAGGCTTAAAGTAAACTGCTTATCAAGGTCCTGTGTGTGTGTCTGGCAAAGACTTGCTCCCTGCAGGCCAGCTGATAGAGGGGGAACAAAAGGACATAGGAAAGTCCAGGAGATGAGGCAGAGGCCATGGGATAAGGCTGGTTGATGCCCATATTGCTCAGGAATAGAGCAGCACGGGGCATGCACAGCTGGGCTCCCACTTACACCACTTTCTTTCTTCCCTCCTGCTGCAGGACTGAAACCCACTTCGTAAGTAAGAGTGAGTCTTAAGGCACATTCGGCAGGTGCCAACCTCTGCTACTTTCAACACTAACCTCAACACTACCCCCAGATCAGACTGGAAGGGGCAGGGACAGCCAGGAGGCAGCCAGAAAGAAGCTTCTCACCCACTCCACTCTTCCACTACCAACTGATCAGATCACATGCATGAGGGTGGGAGGAGGCTGGAGGAGAGAAGGTGTATCAGAAAAAGAGGTAGCCCATGGGAAATAGAAAAGGAAAGGAAGGAATAACTGCGGAGAAGGGCCCGCTTCCAGTTCTCCCTGGTGACAGAAGGCAGGAACCACGGAAAGCATACCTGTGGTGTAAACCTGGCAGCCAACAGCTCTGTCTCTGCCTCCCCCCACCCCCAGGCTTTCCTCCTTCCATGCAAACCCCAGTACACATCAGAGCTGCCATGAGGATGGAGATGGGACAGCTGGTCTACCCGCATTTTCGTGCCACCAACCGATGAACAGGGAAAGACCAGGCAGCCATGGGAGGAGTCAAGGGTATGGTCATTAATGCTCAGTTGGGTTGGAAAGGCCATAGCTACCCAAGCTGGCTGGGAGAAGATGGAAGGTGGGGTTGGACATGCCACAAGTAGGGCTGGATGTCAGACACCCTGCCCAAGGTGGGAAGGGAGAGGCTGAGGCACCAGGCTGTGACTTTTCTTCCAAGGGTCGAGTCGGCCCCTGTGGCTGTAGCCCCAGCCCTGNCCAGGCTGTGACTTTTCTTCCAAGGGTCGAGTCGGCCCCTGTGGCTGTAGCCCCAGCCCTGAGCATGACTTTCCTTCTGCTCCCACAGGGCGAGGCGTGATGAGATGGCCATGCTGAGGCAGTGCCAGGCCGTGAGATGTTGATGAGATGGAGCTCCCTGCCAGACAGCACGGAACGAGGTTCTGCAGACACACACAGCACATGAGGTGGAGGGACACAGGACAGGCACACAGAGACACAGGGAGAAAAGAGAGAGACAGATCAGCTCATGGGCCCAGCCCTACTCCCACCCCCACCAACACCATGAACCAAGACCACGTCGGGGAGCAGGCGCAGCCAGGTACAATAACTGTCATCTACTACTGCAAGGAATATCGTCAGCAAGGAAGCCACCAAGTGGATGTGCCCTGACATACTCTTCCTCTTGACCTCACACTTTAAACTTTTATTGAGGTGTAACATACGGTCAGGAAAATATGTAATCATACGTGCATAGCTCAGCAGCTCTTACAAAAAGAACACACCTATGTGAATAGCAACCTAATCAAGATTTGAAAATTATGATTTTATTTGTAAGAAGTCCCAGAACAGGCATAGCTAATCTGTGGTAGTGGAGGTCAGAGGAGCTTTATCTTTTGTCTGCGGAGGAGCACAAGGGAACTTTCTGGGATGCTGGAAGCGTCCTATATCTTGATCTGAGTGACTATTATACAAGTGAATCATATGTAAAACTTCCTCCGGCCGTACAATTAAGATTGGACATTTTACTATACGTAAATTACATCTAAATTCAGAAAGTAAACAGAACATGACCAGCCCCCTAGATCCTCTCTCATACACCCTTCTGGTCCCCTCAAGAGCAACCACTATCCTAACTNAGTGTGTAAAAATGGAATGTATGAGCAGCAGAGGTTACACCAGTCAGTACAATTTCTGCCTAGATCGAGTCTCCTTCTGATATGAGTTTGGACGTCAAGGCCACTGGTTCCCTTCTTTGGCATGAGACAAACCCATCTCTAGATGTACCTACTCTGAAAGGAGATTTTCCAGTTTCCAGAAGGGAATGTCCACACTCTCCTGCCCCATCTCAGCTTGTAGTTAATATAATAGATTAATCACTTCATTAGTCACAGTAATCACTTACTATGCACCAGGAACATGGCAAGGTAGGGAAGGGTTTGCAGCCATGATTTCTACGAAGATCCAAACCTGTGGCTCTAGCCCACTGACACAGTGTTGTGGCTTCTTGATGGCCTTAAGCCAGGACATGGGCAGCCAGGGGCTCCCTAGCACTGAGTCCCAAATCAGGCAGGCTGGACACTAGCGTTTTACCCCACAAGTGTGGCCAGGCCAGAGCTGGCTGGACTTAGGTTGCAGCTGCTACCCCTTTGTTGGCCACAGTGACTTTGGACACTGAGGCATGGGACCAGCTGTGGCCAACTGAATGTGTCCCACCTGCATGACTGTGAGATTGCTCATGAGAAGGGGGGATAAATCACCAGCGCTTTATATGCAAGAGGCATGCAGGCTTAAAGTAAACTGCTTATCAAGCTCCTGTGTGTGTGTCTGGCAAAGACGTGCTCCCTGCAGGCCAGCTGATAGAGGGGGAACAAAAGGACATAGGAAAGTCCAGCAGACGAGGCAGAGACCATGGGATAAGGCTGGTTGATGCCCATGTTGCCCAGGAACAGAGCAACAGGGGGCATGCACAGCTGGGCCCCCACTTACACCACTTTCTTTCTTCCCTCCTGCTGCAGGACTGAAACCCACTTCGTAAGTAAGAGTGAGTCTTAAGGCACATTCGGCAGGTGCCAACCTCTGCTACTTTCAACACTAACCTCAACACTACCCCCAGATCAGACTGGAAGGGGCAGGGACAGCCAGGAGGCAGCCAGAAAGAAGCTTCACACCCACGCCACTCTTCCACTACCAACTGATCAGATCACATGCATGGGGGTGGCAGGAGGGGTGGAGGAGAGAAGGTGTATCAGAAAAAGAGGTAGCCCATGGGAAATAGAAAAGGAAAGGAAGGAATAACTGGGGAGAAGGGCCTGCTTCCAGTTCTCCCTGGTGACAGAAGGCAGGGACCACAGAAACCATACCTGTGGTGTAAACCTGGCAGCCAACAGCTCTGCCTCTGCCTCCCCCCACCCCCAGGCTTTCCTCCTTCCATGCAAACCCCAGTACACATCAGAGCTGCCATGAGGATGGAGATGGGACAGCTGGTCTACCCGCATTTTCCTGCCACCAACCGATGAACAGGGAAAGACCAGGCAGCCATGGGAGGAGTCAAGGGTATGGTCATTAATGTCCAGTTGGGTTGGAAAGGCCATAGCTACCCAAGCTGGCTGGGAGAAGATGGAATGTTGGGTTGGACATGCCACAAGGAGGGCTGGATGTCAGACACCCTGCCCAAGGTGGGAAGGGAGAGGCTGAGGCACCCTCTGAGCAGTGTCCTTCAATGACCCCTCCCAGTCCCTTCCCGGGGGATGCCCACTCCCCAGCCCCAAATGTCAGGTGAAGACTGAAGGCTGTCAAGCACTGACCAATAGTTTTCTAAGGCCTTGTGGGCCTGGAAGTAGCCACCTTCAGTGACCTGTCCACAAGAATACAGCTTGGGCAGCGGCCCATCCTGGAGGCTGGTGGGGTGGAGAGCTGGCTAGGCCCCAGCACTGTGCTGAAGCCGGTTCTCATCATCTCGCGAGAGCCCATCGTGGACGCCCCTTTCCAACTCTGCGTTCGGAAATGCCCGGTTAGTAGTATGTCGGCACTCACGGGAGTGTTTACTCTACAGAAATAGGCAAATACTACTAATCAGAGCGTCTATTCAGGGAGCTGGCCATTAGACAGTTACCAGCACATCGCTAGGTGAGCACATCACCAGCACTTACATCTAAATTCAGAAAGTAAACAGAACATGACCAGCCCCCTAGATCCTCTCTCATACACCCTTCTGGTCCCCTCAAGAGCAACCACTATCCTAACTTCTAACACCATGAAACAGTGGGGTTTTCCTTTTTGAGGGAGGGGTTGGCTCCGTGGTCTGGCTATGCAAATTAGGGCAGGGCAGGAAACCGTAGCTCTCAGTTGGTCCCACACTTTGGGAAAAAGATTTGTCATCGTATTGAGAACCCTAATAAATGCTCGTAACTTTTGACCTAGAAAGTCCTCTTCTGGAAAACAAATTGGAGGAAGTAATCCTAAACCAGAAAATTTCATCATTGTGGTGTTTGTAGCATCGAAAAAGCAGACACAGCATCCAACATAACTAGAGGTCAGACAAATTAAAGTACATCCAACTTGAAGTAACATTATGAATCCACTAAAAAAGGTGTTTAGGAAACATGGTTTTTAAACAGTTTAACTGAGGTATAATTTATATACCCTAAGACTCACCCATCGTAAATGTATAATTTGGTGATTTTTAAGAAATTTACAGAGTTATACAACCGTCACCACAATCTACCCCTAGAGCATTCTCGTCACCCCCAAAATGACCCCAGTGCCGATTTACACTCACTAGCTATTCCTGCCCTCAGCCCCAGGCAACCACTAATCTACTTTCTATCTCTATAGATTTGCTTTTCTGGACATTAGATATAAACAGAATCAGACAGTATGTAGTCTTACTTCTGGCTTCTTTCACTTTGCACAATGTTTTTGCTGTTCATCCGTGTTACTGTGTGTATCAGTGCTCCATTCCTTTCTGTTGCTGAATAGCATCCCATTGTATGGATAGAGCATGCTTTCTTTAGCACGCACCAGCCGAGGGGTATTTGTGTGTCTCGACGTTGGGGCCATTAGGAGTAATGTTATAAATAGCCATGCATTTTCGTTTCTTGTAGATGGACTCCTCCAAGTGAAACCACTGGGTTTTATAGTAGCTTTCAGTTTTATCTTTTTAAGAAACTGCCAAACTGTTTTTCAAAGTGGCTGTACTTTTTCTCCCCCCCCCCCCCCCAAATCCTGCAGTGGATGCAGGTTGTTTGGAAAGCATTTGTAGCGACACTGGGAGGTGTTCGTCACCAAGGTCTTAGTGGAAGTGGCCTTGAGTACAGGAAGAGGCTCCTTCTTCTCACCTCTAGCTCCGGGCTGGGGCTGCCCTCTGAGCAGTGTCCTTCAATGACCCCTCCCAGTCCCTTCCCGGGGGATGCCCACTCCCCAGCCCCAAATGTCAGGTGAAGACTGAAGGCTGTCAAGCACTGACCAATAGTTTTCTAAGGCCTTGTGGGCCTGGAAGTAGCCACCTTCAGTGACCTGTCCACAAGAATACAGCTTGGGCAGCGGCCCATCCTGGAGGCTGGTGGGGTGGAGAGCTGGCTAGGCCCCAGCACTGTGCTGAAGCCGGTTCTCATCATCTCGCGAGAGCCCATCGTGGACGCCCCTTTCCAACTCTGCGTTCGGAAATGCCCGGTTAGTAGTATGTCGGCACTCACGGGAGTGTTTACTCTACAGAAATAGGCAAATACTACTAATCAGAGCGTCTATTCAGGGAGCTGGCCATTAGACAGTTACCAGCACATCGCTAGGTGAGCACATCACCAGCACTCCTACACAGAGGAGGAAATCTCAGGACCCGAAGACCCAAGAAAAACATTCAGCTCTGATGAGGTCACAGGCCCAAGGGGAGACCCCGGAAACAAGTCCAAGTGCAGGCAGCCAAGTCTTTGCCTTAAGAAAAAGTCCCCCACATGTGGGCTGTCCAGTTTGCAAAAGCACGTGAGAAGCACATGAAGCTGGCACATAAAGCATGAGGCCAGATCTGTGGGGAGAGGGGCCAGGGGAGGGGGGTGACAAAAGATGCCCTCCCTTGCCTGCCAGTCCCCTTGGGAGACACTGGAGAGGCCCCCGAGTGACTCACGGGCTGCATGTCTGAGGAGCAAAGCCTGGGTTATGAATAGGCCTGACGTGAAGTGGCTGCCCTGGCCACTGCTTCCCGCTTTCCAGCCAGCCTAGGGCTGGCCAGGTCAGTGGCTGCTTCCCAACAATCACCCTCAGCCTCCAGGCTCCAGGGGGAATCCCGGTTGTCAGTCTGGGCCGTCCTCAGCCCCAGGGAAGGGGGCGATGAGAGGGAGCTCAGCGGGGGCCTCGCTGCCAATGTCCTGCCCCTCC